GCTGCCCAGCTGGCCCGCAGCTCTCGCGGAACTCGGGCGGTGCCGGCCGCGGGGGCTGCCCGGACGGACATTTCGCAACACGCGGAAAGGGGGAGCGCGAACTGCTGCTAGGAACGGAAGCTTCAGGAAAGGAGGGAATGAGGGGTGGGGGGACTGTGAACGGCTGCGCGCCGGAAGTGGAGGTGAGAAGGAGTCGTCTGGAGAAGGGTGTCCCGGCTCGCGAGCTGTCAATCAGAACCGTGGCCCCGCCGCCCACAGGGCCAGCTCTCAAAGCGGGCGACTCCTCGCCAATAGCAGCGCGAGAACTGGGGTCGAAGTCCCGCCCCCTCAGCCTGCTCCGAGGGCTGAAGCGGACCTGGTTCCCCAGTGCAGCCTGTCCCTGCCTCGTCTTTTCCGGCTGCTAGAAGGCGGATACACTGCCGTTGCCACACCTCCCTCCGCCTCCTTCCCTCGGTGCCCGTGGAGCACCTTCTCCAAAGGATGGGCAACCAACAGCTCTACAAGCCCTTTATTGTTGGCCCTCCGTGTTGTCTCTGCAGAAGGCTGCTCTCTTTAGCAGGGCCTCTATTAACCTCCTTTCCTTGGCTCCGGCTCGTTGGGGAAACGGAGACACACAGCATCATTACAACACGGACACTCTTAAAAACAGAAAATTTACAATAAAAACCATCTGTCACAAATAGCTGTGGTCTTTTTTCGGGGGAAAGAGGAGCAGGTGTGTTTGAGCAAGACTAAATGTTTCCTAGTGTACTAAGAAAAGTCAATACTGACATTTTTAAGCAGCTCTAATACATCAGCATTTGACCTTGTAACGCCTCTTCAATGCCTAATACCAGTGGCAGGAAGTTAGTGTCTTGTACTTTCACAGAAGACTGCTTTTGGGGAGAAAAACTGATTTGACGTACAGAGCATATGCGCAGATATTTTCTGGTTGAGCACAGAAGTGTGGATTTGTAATGATAATTGTAATACTTTAATCAGTCTTACCTATGGGCTTCAAATAAATCAGGCCCTGTTGTGTCAGGGGATTTATATGTTATTAAAGGTGATTTATAAAGGGAAAGTATTGTGATTATCACCTTTTTGTGTCTCATAAAGAAGTCCATATATATATGGCCTTATAGACCATATATAAGAAGGCCATATATATGTGGCCTTATATACATACACACACACACACCACAGAATTCGTATGTATTTCAAAATCAAAATCAATCTGCTCTCTCACCTTGTGAAATTATGAGGCAATCGGCTAGTTATCTCAGGTGCCTGCACATGGACACACACAGCCCAGGAAACAAGCGGGAAGAATTGGAAGTCCTTGCGCAGTCACAGAACTATGATGCGACTGGAATAACAGAGACATCGTGGGATAGTTTACATGACTGGAGCACTGTCATGGATGGGTATAAACTGTTCAGGAAGGGCAGGCAGGGGACAAGAGGAGGAAGAGGAGTTGTACTTTATGTAAAAGAGCTGGATGAGTGTTTAGAGCTCCAGTATGAAACTGGAGATAGGTCTGTTGAAAGTCTCTGGGCTAGATCAGAGGGGAGAACGACAAGGGTGATGTCGTAGTTGGTGTCTGCTATAGACCACCAGGCCAGAAGGATGAGGTGGATGAGGCATTCTTCAAACAGCTAGTGGAAGTTTCCTGATCACAGGCCCTGGGTGGCTTCAATCACCCTGACATCTGCTGGGAGACCAATACAGCAGTGCACAGGCAATCCAGGAAGGTTTTGGAGAGTGTTGGGGACAACTTCCTGGTACAAGTGTTGGAGAAGCAAACTAGAGGCCAAACTATGCTTCACCTGCTTCTCACAAATGGAGACGAATTGGTGGGGAATGTAGTAGTGGATAGCGACTTGGGCAGCAGCAACCAGGAGATGATTGAATTCAGGATCTAGTAGGAAAGGAAGGAAGGAGAGCAGCAGAGTGCACACCTTGGACTTCAGAAAAGCAGACTGACTCGCTCAGGCACCTGATGGACAGGATCTCCTGCAAGGCCAGTCTGAGGGGGAAAGGAGACCAGAAGAGCTGGGGGTACGTTAAAGAAACCTTACTAAGGGTGCAGGAATTAACCATCCCCATGTGCAGGAAGGCTAGCAAGTATGGCAGAAGACCAGCTTGGCTTAGCAGAGAACATTTCAGTGAGCTAAAGCACAGAAAGGAAACTTACAAGAAGTAGAAATGTGGACAAACAACTAGAGAGGAGCATTGGTGATGCATACGGGGTGCACATGGGTGCACCCCCTGACAGAAGTGCTGCTGACTCTGCTGGTGGTGCCTGTGGGCAGTCACTGCTTGCCACCCCTCCCCTTGCCACTGATACCACCGGCCACGTCTGCAGGCGGTCCCTGATAGCTGCTGGCCACCACCAACGCTGCCAGCACCATCTGTGGGTGGTCGCTGACCGCCGGTTGGTGCTTACCGCCCTCCCCACCGCTGACACTGCCACAGCTGAATTCAGGAGCTTCCTGCTCGCTGCTGCCCCTGCCTCCACCACCTGCGCCAGTTGCCGGGCTCCCCCAGCCTGCAGGGGCACACATTGTTTATGGGGAGGAGTATAAGAATATTGATCGGGCAAGCAGGGATAAAATCAGGAAGGCCAAAGCACAACTGGAGTTGCAGCTAGCAAGGGACATGAAGGGTAACAAGAAAGGTTTCGACATGTTAGCAACAAGAGGAAGACCAGGGAAAGTGTGAGTCCTTTACTAAATGGGGCAGGCAATTGTTATAGGGCACTAAGGTGTGCCTGCTCCTTTAAGGGCAGAAACTGCCTAGAGAGAGGGCCCTAGCAGTCAGGCAGGAACCCCACAGATGCAGCTTACTGTGGCAGCAGGCCTAAGGAGGGAATTAGCCTGCACCTGCAGCTGGTCAGCTGACCGGAAGAGGCAGGGCCCTGGGCACATATAAACCCCAGGGCTGGGACTAGAGAGTTAGTTCCCTGCCAGCAGTCAGAGGGGAAGGAGCCTTCAGGGAGGAATTGCATAGCAATGTTGTCTTTGGGGCTAATGGGGCTCCAGGAGCTTACCAGGTACCCTTGCCTGCAAGGCACTTAATGCTGAGATAGAAGTTTTCCTCTTTTAAAAGGATAGACCACACCCTAAACTTTTTGTGTTATGTTATAGTCTAGGGGCTTATATTTTTGGTTGCTGTTTTATAGTACTGGAGCTTCAGGCTGAAGCTATTGGGGAAGGAGGAGGCCTCATTGGGGGCCCACTACAGTGTGGGGACCCCAGTGCCAGTGTGGGTGCAGTATTTGGGGTGTGGGGACCCCAGTGATGACCGGAGGCCAAGCTAAACTAAGGCCTTGGAGGGATAACATGTGAATGCCATCTGCGAAGCTTGGGGTGTAGTAGAGGCTCTGTTTGGAGCCATGCATCTAGCCCATAAGGCTGAGGGTGTCTTGAGAGGTATCCATTTGGAGCAGGACCCAAAAGGGGTCTGAAAACCCACAGGGTTCAGTGGGGTCTATCAGGACTGCCCAAGATACAAAACTTGAGGGCAGCCTCCCAACTTATTATAGTACAACAAGATGTGACAGGAGAGAGAGGGTGCCTGTTGGGCAGGATTAGCATGGTCAAAAAGCCTTAGGGGTATCATGGCCATCCCTGGGGGCCCCCATCCTGTGACAGCAGCCTAGTGACAGATGATGAGGAAAAGGCTGAAATATGAGCTAACAGTGTATCCTTGTTGCAAAGGAGGCTAACGGCATACTGGGCTGCATTAGTAGGAGTGTTGCCAAGAGACTGAAGGAAGCAATTCCTCCCTTCTATTCAGCACTGGGGAGGCCACATCTGGAGTACTGGTTGTGCAAACACTTTTATGTATTGGCTTAATGTTAAGGACTTGAGTGGTGCTGCTAACGGCAGTAAGAATTCCATGCTTTGTTAAGAATGTGGTGCTTAAATATTTGTAGGCTTGGAGTTGTAGTGTTTAATAACTTGCTATTTCTCAAATAAAACATTATACAATTTTTTTTTTTATTTTTTTTTTTTACATTTAGATGCACACTTGTAATTTCATGCCAGTTTTTAAAAAGTCTTAAAAGCTTTTAATTAGGAAAATTACATAATACAGGCAGTCCTCGACTTGCAATATGTCAAACTGCACCGTTTTGCACTTGCGTTTATAAATTGATACCCTGTTTCAACTTTCAACGTCATTTTCAACTTTACAATGTTTGATCTAATGAGATGCCATACTAGCGAACAAGCTTGCTGTGTCACCCATCTCCCTGGAGAACATCTGTCCAAACTTCCTTGAACACTTTCTTTAAGAAAGCATATAAGACTCCAGAAAAACCTGCAGCCAAGAACCCTTCAAAAAGTCCAGCAGTCGAGTCAAAGAAATCCTTTCAAATCAATGAGTGCTATTTACAATATAAATACATTGATGTTACTATATTAATCATCTATAATTGATAGAATACAAACTTCTGGGTTATTTTTGGTGAAAACAGGGTATCGGTCCTTGGTTCAAGAAGCAATCCCCCATTTATAACCTTGTTTCTTATGGAAAAAATTGG